TAATTTTCGAATGTCCGATCTTTCCTCGCGACTTGAACACAGCACACAGCCCCGCCCCCTCGTATTTGTATTCCACCGTCGCCATTTTGCTTGAGTCAGAGAGCAGTTCTGGTTTTCTTCGAGCGGGTTCGGGTTTTTCTTGCTATATTCTACAAGTTTTCAAATATCTTTTTAAATTTTAAACTGGTAATTGAACACTACATACACTGTTTACATCATATGTATGCAGTTACATTGAAACACGGACGTGAATACCACGGTAATAAACGGCCGTGTGAACGCTTAGCTAACGATAAGGTTGCTAACCGTCCAAGGTTTCGCTAGGCCTCTGTTATGTACACGAGCTAAAAAGTGCTCATCTATTAATCATAATAATTTAAGAGTTCACATTTTTAAACTAGACACCAGTTAGCCAGGTTAGCTATAAAGTCAAGGCATTTTCCGACTGGGAGTCACGTAGTTCATTAGCTTTGAGACACTTTTTGTAATTCAACAGTAAGTATGTGAATGTTTTCTTGGCTGTCTTGGTCTTTAAATTCATATTTTCCTCGAGTTTGAGATTCGTTATTGTTATCTGAGTGTTTCGGTTTAATTGCTGTTTGTGTCCTAATTAAGATGATATTTAAGGCCAGTCGTCACTGGCAGGCGGAGGCCTCCCAAAAACGACACTTGTAGATTTTCCTGCATGAGACACTTGAAGTGTAAAAGTGTGTCAGTGTGTCCGAGCACACTTGTTTCCTGTTGCTGTGTGAAGTGTTTGTCCTGTTTGTCTTTCAATAACCACTGTTCAGTTCCCCGGGGAGTGTTTCTGATGTATTTGTAGGTTTAAACCCGTCCTCTTGGCCCTCTTTGGGGATCCCTGGATCCGGATAATTTGCCCCCAGTTGATTGGCAGAAGATTTTTTTTTCTCCAGCATTTGGTAATCAAGACGTGAAAGTCCTGCACGGGTTTCCTCCCAACCTCCAGCATTCAAATGTCACAAAATGTGTAAAATGCCAACAAGCCCAAGAAGAAGCTGAGGATTTCCCCACCAACCACGCCACCTTTCTCAACTTTTTTCCCACATCACTTAGTTTCTTCTATTTTTTTCTTGTTCATGCTGTTTATGTCCCCCTACTTATTTATTTCAGTAGCCACCAAATAGTATCAATGATGATTTACAAGCAATGGCCAAAGGACTTTATTGCATCAGCATCAGTATTGTTTAGCGGTTTGGCAGAGATCAGGATGTCTCAGAAATGGGATGTCGTAGGAAGACTAATGTCTTTGGGAGACCCACCCCACTTTTCCTCTTATCTCATGGATCAAGTGTTCCTTCAGGATTTCCTTACTACTGTGGAGACTCCGAACCAGCTGTGCACTCGAGGCAGACCACTTCTCTACTACCTCAGGTAAACGAGCACGAGTACAGGTCAGCTTTACTCTCACTGCACTATTTCTGCCTTTTCTACAAATTTGTCAAATTGTTTAAGTTTTCTTGTTGTTTGACTTGAAATCTAGTTGGTGAACTTTTACAAACTGGTCAAATATCTTTGACCCTGAGTATCTTTATTTGGATTTTTAGTGCTGCTAAACTTGGTAGTGGTCCTCGGTGACCTTAGCACTGCTTAATTTTATGTACAAAGCGCCAAATCACTACAACAGTCACCTCAAGGCACTTTCTATTGTAAAGTAAAGAATGCAATCATATGAGCGCTTTGGCAAAAGTGGGAAGGACAAACTCCCTTTAAACAGGAAGAAACCTCCAGCAGAACCAGGCTGACAAAGACCCTCTGTGGAAGTGCTGGGTGCACGTCAGGAGTTGGTGCTTTATAAATAAAATGAACCGAATTAAAAATTGAGTGAAGAAGAAACAGTCAT